CTGTCACCCACAGAATGGCGGGGGGGGGTTGAGGGATAGAGAGAAGAGACCCAGCTGGACCTTCCAGCCAAGAGGGATCATGTCACCCAATGCCTTTGGCCACAGGAAGCGTGGTGGCTGCAAACCTAAGCTCGGTACCCTCCCTTAAACAGATGGGCATGTGAACACTCCTTTCTCTGCAGCCTCAAACATTCCCACCACTGTTCAGAATCTGCAGTGCTGGGCTCCAAGGAGACCACATGAGGGCTCTCTTAAGAACAGCACGATGCCAGCCAAGCAGATCCTCCAGGAGAGGCAAGACGGCCCACCCTTGGGGCTGCTCTAGGCCCGAACTACGCACGTCTTCTCTCGCTCCTCATCCGCGTGCTGCAAGTAGATTGTCCCACTCTGCTCCTTCACAGATTCCTCCAGCGGGATCAGCAAGTCTTCCAGCTCCTTTTGCTGAGACAAAATGAAGTCCAGCTCTTGGTCCAGCCTACGAGGGAAGGAAGGAAGGAAGGGAGCAGTGTACTAAAGAACCTGAGAAGGGACAGCAGTGGCAGCAGAGCAGAAGAGGCGCCCAGTGCTTCATCGCCTGTCGCGTCAAAGACGAACAGAGGAATGAAGACAGATCAGAATTCCCAGCAAGGGCGCCATTAACAAGTGTGTGCACATGCACACACCCACAGAGGCGGCACCCTGACTCAGGGTTCTGACACCCTGAAGGAATTTGCAAGCCAAAAGTAGGGCCCTTGCTGCTGTTTGATGCCATGGGCAAGCAACAGAGAACCCTTGCTTCTCCCCTACCCACGGGACTCGCTGGGGTCAGGCACAGCTAGCCTCTTAAGAGGTTGGAAATCTTGCCCGCTTCACAGGGGGCTGACAAAAGAGACCTTCACGGGGCCCGAAACACTGCTGCTCCACCTCTTTCAGGCGGCATCGCTTCCCTTTCTCCTAAAGGGCACCTGAGAACAGAGGCTGGGCACAGGGCAGAGGAATGGAGACAAAGCAGCAGCCGTAACCCAAGCCCATTCTAATCCCTTTAAGGCCTTTTCTTTGTGTCCACCCCAACCCTTACCTCTTTTGATCCAGCTTCACCTTCTCTACTTCTCTGTGTAACGTTGTGATCTGTGAGGGAGAGAGAAGGCTTGCTGGGCCAAAGCTACACTCGGAGTTCAACCGAAAAGTGTGCACGCTTCGTTCCCAAAGGCCCAGCATCTACCCTTCTGAACACCGTAGCCCAGCAGTCCCATACCTTCTCCCCGTTTTCAATCAATGTCCTGTCCCAGGCGTTGACCTGGGTGGCCTGCTGAAGGAAGTGCTTCTCCTGGTCCTCCAGTTCCAGGCTCCATTTGTTAATCAGGCTCTCCAGCTGGGCATAAGTCATCACAGGGGGAGCCCTAGACAGAAGAGGAGAGGAGGGAGCCCAGCCTGTCATTCTGTCTGCAGAACAAAAGCACTAGGGGACAATGGGGGCCTGGTACTCCCCACCTGCTATCTCCACATGGCACCTTCAAATGGGATTACAAGCAAGAGCTCCCTCCGCCCACCCAGAGCTTACATGACAGTTGTGGTGGTTGCAGTGGAGGTGGAAACTGCGGCACTAGTCGTGGCAAGGGGCTTCAGGTTCAAGGAGAATCCTCCGCTGGGCACGGAAGCAGCCCCTGGAGAGAAAGTCACCGGGCATCAGACTGTGGCAGGCACCAGCGGGCAGGCGGGCACTGGTCCTGAAGTGGGAGCCCAGCTGTGACAAACAGCAGGGTGGGCCTCCAGGGGCAACGCAAAAGTCGATTCCTGCCACCAAGCCTAAAAGCCACTGCGGACCAGGATATCTGAAGGACGGTTCCCCATACCTGATCCTGCTTGGTGTGGGCCCCTAACCCAGGAACTCTGTACTCTGCGCCTCAGAAGCGCCAGACAGAACAGGAGGGAAGGTTTTGCTCTGCAACCTCTGGATTCGGCACCTCCCTTTCATTTTGGGGCAAGGTGCTGAGATTGTTTTTGCACCGCATTTGCAGCAGCAGTTCTTTTCTCCTACTTTCACGCCGGATGATTTCATACAGTCTTGGTTTGGTGCACGAAACAGGTTTCCCTACTTCATTTGTAAACTGACTTCATGGTTTACTTTAGAAAAGAAAGCTGTGGATATAGGCGTGGCTGCCCACAGAGGAGGACAAACCTCTTTAAAGAGCCTCTGAGCACAAAAGGCCACCTCTTTCCCTTATCCCATTTCTCCTTGTGATCCTCACCAGCTGTTGGGGGGGCAGCTGTTGCTGCTGTCGTGACTCCAGGCATTTTTGAGCCAAATCCCAATGTCCCAACGGGGGCTGCCCCTGTTGAAGAGGTACTCACTGCAGGAGAAAGTGACAAATGTTCCTAAGCGACTGAGGGTTTCAAAAAGAGCTGAATCATAGATCAAAAAGTGCTACAATCATTTGTGTCAGACAAAGACAGGCCAAGTATACAAAGTCCTGACCAGAAGGGAGGCCAAATGACCCAAACCCACACCTCTAACTAGCCTGCACTCTCAGTCGAGAGGAGGCCATAAAGGGACCCACTCTGGCTGCCCGTGCCTCCGCTAAAAACTTACATGAAAGGCTAGTGGCAGTGCAGGCAGCTGGAGCTGAGGAGCCCACTACGGATGCAAACAGCGTGGGCCCTGACAGGCCCAGGAGGGAAGTTGAAGTCGTCGTGGCAGGTGCCACAGAAGTGGCAGTTGTACCTGTGGATGGGGAACAGGCAGCAGACACGTGCTGAGGTTTCAGCACCCCCTGGGTGAGAATGAGCTGAGCCTCTTCTCAACATGCACTTTTCTGCGTATCTTAAGGCCAAACACCTTTCATTCCATCTCTCTCTCTAGAAACTGTGCGCAAAGAGAGTGCAGTGCTACCAATAACCAAACACAAGCAGAAATTCTTGTAGCACCTCCTCTTCAGCTGTTACAAGGGAATCTAACACTGCTGTTAAACTACTTCAGTGCCACCATGCAAAATTCCAAATTAATCCTTTGATATGGGACACAAGAAAAAAATGAGGCTTATAAAAGAACTGTTGCAACTGAGAAATTAAATAAAAATTATTGTAAACGTGCACATAAGAAAAAAATAGATTTTTCAGGAAAAAAATTGTCAAAAAAAATTATTCCAGAAAAAGATCACAGGAAATGAGAGTGCAGCTCCGTGCTGCCCTGGTCAGACCACACCTGGAATACAGTGTCCAGTTCCGGTCACAAAAATACAAGAAAGACACTGAGGAACTGGAAAGAGTTAGAGAGAAGAGCAAAAAGGACAGCGAGGGGTTGGAGGCTGGATGCTACCAAGAGCGGCTGAAAGAACCGGGGAGGTTTAGCCTAGAGAAGGCAAAGAGGAGAGTCGTGGCAGCAGCCTTCCAATACTCGGAGGGCTGCCACAGGGTGGAGGGCATGGCTCGATTCTCCAGAGGGTAAGGAGAGTGCTCCATCCGTGGAAGTTTTTAAGAAAAGACAGGGCAGCCCTTGGCCTGGGACGGTGTGAGGATTCCTGCCCTGGGCAGGGGCTTGGACTAGAAGCCCTCCTAAGTCCCTTCTGATTCTGCGAAGCAGAAAAAACAAAAAGGGGCCACCGCAGGGAAGGTCAGGGAAAGAGCAGGGGATGTTGAAAGGGGTTAAGTGACAGGAAACAGTGTCTAGCCTGGATATTCTGAAAAAGCTATTGTGAACAGTGGCAACAGAGGAGCCAGCAAGACGAGCAGAAGCTCCAGCGCAGAGGGCGAGCCTCGCCTCTTCACTACCCAAGCACAGTAACGCACCTCCGGGTTTAGCGCCAAAGGACAAGGCGGGTCCCTGGCTCGGCGCCCCCGTGGCGGTAGAAGTGACAGCTGCTGGGGCCAGTAGTCCGAAGCCTGAACCTGAAACAAGAATCGAAGATGGGAAGCCGAGGGGCCTACAGGCTCGTCTTTTTCCTCCTGAGGGCGAGGGACCCCTCAAGGAAGCCCAGCCGGCCGGCCCAGCGACCCCCCACAGTCTGCCAGGCACCTCCCTTTTCTCCAGCGTCCCGGCAGGCAAACA